TCACTTGGTTCATTCCATATCATTAGGGATGAAATGGGGTGCTCAATTAGTACTCCCAAACATTTTTTTTTTTTATATTTCATATCATAGCTACTGTGGCATTATTTATTAATTTTTTAACAGAAATTGTTTTAAAAATAAATTTAAAAAAGTTCAAAATATGGAAGGTTAAAAGAATTTTTTTTTTTTTTTGTAAAAATCAAAATAAAAAAATTAGTCAAACATAAGGAGGCCAAAATATTTACCTTTAATAAATAAGTCCTCCAAGGACTAGTTGATTAAACATTACATTTAATCAAGTGCATCTGCGATTAATTTCAAATTTATTTATTTATAGCAATAATTTAACAACTTATTAAATATTGTACACACCAACAAGGATGGTGTGCATTTATGTGAGTTATATATATATATATATAATTAAGGGTCCGTTTGGCACGATGGTTTGTGGCTAAAATAGCCACAAAAGACAAAATAGGCTATTTTAGCCACAACAAACAAAACATCAAATCCAACCCATAATCATTTCACTCTTCTCTCACAAAAAAAGTCAAAAAGCCAAAAAATCCTTCTCAAATCAAACTTTTTAGCCCAGACTAAAATAATCAAAAAAGTGAAAAAAACTAAAAAGTCAACTCACTTCCCAAACCAACCCTGTATATTATCTATGCTATGCACGGAATTTTATTATTTAAAATGAGTCATTGTTGAAAAATTTGGCCTACATTTGGTTGTGTTTTGTAATTATGATTTGAGAGTATGAGTTGTATTTTGAGTTTGTGGGGTTTGGAATTATGATTTGAGTGTAGAAAATTTGTTTGGTAAAGAGTTTTGAAAATAGTTTTGAAAAGAGTTTTGATTTGAATGGGGAATTGTTGATGTGACATTTGATACAAAAATTTATAACTCATAACTAAACATACAACTCAAAATTATTTTAAAGCACATAAAAAATTTTAAAAATTTCAGAAAATATTTTTTTTAATTATATAAAAATTAACATATCAATTGCCAAAAAAAAAAAAATCACTATTCCGGTCAACCGGCCGGACGTCTCGTCAGGCAAAATTTTCAAAAAAAAATTCTGAAAAGCACGGCTGAGAAAACGGCTGAGATAGAGCTCTCCACAGAGCTTTCGAAACATGATTTTAAAACACTAAACAAACATCATGTTCAAACTCTGGTGTAGAAAACTAGTTTGAAAACATAAACAAACAGAGTCTTTCTTATCAAATGATTTTACATACGACAATCTTATATGTTGATTTATAAACTTGTCAACTACCTCTTTCTAAGAGAAGCATGATAGTAATTCCCTCGATAACCCTTATTAAGTCGAAAAATGAGTGGTAGCTCGAAATCATTGTGGCCCGAATGGCTCGATAGCCCAAAATGACGTTGTTTTAGGCTGTCTTTTTTTTTTTTTTTTTTTTTTTTTTTTTTTTTTTTTTCCTTTTCTTTTTTTCCATTTGCAAAATGAAATTTTATGTCTTCAGTATCTGTGCCTGCTGTTGTAGATGTTTGAGATGTATTTTCTTTCCCTTATGTTGAATTTTCAACAAATGAATTGATCGACACATTGTGTTTATTGATAAACTCACGATTCTATCTGATCTGTAACTTTAAATAAAATGTAACATGATATATTAGTATTTGAGTTTACGCAATGAGTGTTGTTATTTTTAAAATAAAAGGAGATTGATGCTGATGGTTGACCCCATAAGAAGTTTTTGTTAAATGTGGGTATTGACTGGTATTACATATTGGAAAATGCGGGAGACACCCAGTAATGGGCGACCCCCAGCCCACGTGGTTGTGGGTGATTGGCAGGAAAGAAAAAAAAAAGAAAAAAAAAGAAAACTGGCGAATGACATTGCGCCACGTCACTGGGGGTCGACCCCCAGTGGGGGTGTGTAGTATTGTTGTTACATATTTGTCCCGTTTGTGGTGAAGAAAAACATACATGAGAGTTATCTCGTGGCATGGGTTAAAAAATATTGTTATAGAGGGTAGGTTACACCAAATCCAATCTTTCACATATAATAATAGTATATATATGCATGCCTTTGTGCATGTTCAATCATCTTCCTCGTCTTCTTGCCATGCATTTTTACATCAACTAATAAGTTAAGTTATATAGAGCTGGTAGTATTTCTCATATCAGCCTCTGTGGTTGTTTTTTCTTTTCAGAAAACAAACTTGTTTTATTTTATAAAACTGTTTTCTAGAAAATTTTCTATAAACAACCTACTTTCTCGGAAACATCAAAAACTTGTTTTTGAATTTTTTTTTAAATTGCTTTCACACAAAATGAAACAATGAGTATTTTTAAACTTTTTATTATTTTTGTTTTAAAAAACATTAAAAATAAAAGAGAAAAGCAAAAATGAGGAAATAGAAAAGGCGTTGGCTTCTGTCCAATCCTTAATCGGACTGGACCGTATTGTTGGGCCCGTGGGGGCCCACCACGGGTCTCGTTTTGATAATTTAAACCGTTCAATGTGTAAAACTCGTCGAGTACTCACTACAACAAAAATCACCTTTGGCGACTAAATTTTTAGTCGCCAAAAGTCCATCTTTAGTCGCCAAAAGTGGATTTTTTAGATTCAGCGACTAAATTTTTTAGTCGCCCATTTTGTCGCCAGTACTTAGTCGGCAGAGGTATTGGCGACTAATATGATTTGAGAGTATGAGTTGTATTTTGTGTTTGTGAGGTTTGGAATTATGATTTGAGTGTGAAAAAGTTGTTTGGTGAAAGAGTTTTGAAAATAGTTTTGAAAAGAGTTTTGAATTGAGTGGGGAATTTTTAATGTGACATTTGAATTTGATACAAAAATTTATAACTCATAACTAAATATACAACTCAAAATTATTTTAAAGCACATAAAAAATTTTAATAATTTCAGAAAATATTTTTTTTGATTATATAAAAATTAACATATCAATTGCCAAAAAAAAAAAAAAATCACTATTCCGGTCAACCGGCCGGACGTCTCGTCAGGCAAAATTTTCAAAAAAAAATTCTGAAAAGCGCGGCTGAGAAAACGGCTGAGATAGAGCTCTCCACAGAGCTTTCGAAACATGATTTTAAAACACTAAACAAACATCATATTCAAACTCTGGTGTAGAAAACTAGTTTGAAAACATAAACAAACAGAGTATTTCTTATCAAATGATTTTACATACGACAATCTTATATGTTGATTTATAAACTTGTCAACTACCTCTTTCTAAGAGAAGCATGATACTAATTCTCTCGATAACCCTTATTAAGTCGAAAAATGAGTAGTAGCTCGAAATCACTGTAGCCCGAATGGCCCGATAGCCCAAAACGACCTTTTTTTTTTTTTTCTCTTTTTCTTCTTTATTTCTTTCCTTTTCATTCTTTCCCCATCATTCTTTCGAACACAGAGACAGAGAGGGAAGAGGAGAGGAGGGAGAGGGAGAGAGAGAAGAGAAGGAAGATCGGTGATGGCGCGGTGATGGCAGTCGGTGATCTGAAGCTCTTGGTCAGTGATCTGAAGCTGTTGAAGATGATGATGATGTTGAAGATGATGAAGAATCTGAAGCTGTTCAAAAAAAAAAAATGATCTGGATGATGGCGGTGCAAAAAATTCTGTTCTGTATATTTATTTATTTATTTACTTGTTCTGGATCTGAAAAAAATAAATAAATAAAAAGTTGTTGATCATGATGAATCCGAAAAAATGTTGTTCTGTTTTGTATATATTTTTTTGTTGTACCAACAAGAAGAAAAAAATTTATTTATTTGCAGAACCAAATTTTTTTTGTTGATCTGCAGAACCATATTTTTTTTTTTTTTTTTTGATGTTAATCTGGATGTTGATAAACACAACTCTAGATGGAGGAGCTGAACCAGACATCCACGTCTAGAGATGTTGATCTGGATGTTGATCTTCAGATGTGGATGTGGATGTTGATCTTCAGATCAAAGACCAAATTGTTCATCTTCTTCTTCTCTTTTATTTATTTCTTCATTGATGTTGATCTGGATGTTGATCTTCTTCTCTAGACCAAATTATGCAAATCAACATCTAGAAATAATTTATTTCATCTTCAGAAAAAACACGAGAAAAAAAAAGACACCAAAACGACGTCGTTTTGGTGTCGAGACAAATTCGAGCCTCCGAATTTCGAGCTACGAATCGGAACTGTATTAAGTCTTCATCCTTCACCAACTATCATTCTTATCAATTTTCATCTCCGCTCTTTTGATCACATCGACTCTTATTTAAAGCACCTCTGCTATGAGACTACTGCTATATTTAACTTTCCTTCCTTACCTTTTCCCCAAATCCACTTCTACTCTCACCTGCAATCTCTCTTCTCTAATCTAACGTTGTCTCCACCCTTCATCCTACTGTTTAGTCATTAAAATTCTGATTAAGCATTAATTGATAACAGATTGGTTGAGTTGGCATAAATTCTCAAATAAATTCGAACTCAACATGTGGTTTGAAAATTACAGATAGCTCCCTGACATAATTTTTTAGTTAACAGAATTAATTGAAAATATGAAATTTCTAATTGTTCACCTATACAATAATAAAATTATCTGAATTATTAATTAAAATAAAATTTTAACATTATTAAAAATTATTAATTAACTTGATAATTTATTAATAAAATGACCTATTTATTATGAAATTAAAAATTTTAAAAGATATAATGTAATTTTTAAAACTATAAAAATAATTTATAATTTAAATAAATGACAGAGAGTGTGTTTGTAATTTATCTAAAATTGATTGATTGTAGAGCATGCAGTGAACTTTTCCGTGTTCCCTACATGTGTCGCTGTAGCTATGTTTTTTTTACCGTGTATTATGATTCATCTATGACACAATCAACAATTGCCTAGTCACACAGTCCAGTTTTATTTTTTATTTTTTATTTCTCGGGATGCATAGTCATACAGTCCATTCTTTCGTCGTCAAAGATAAACGTGTTTTTATAATTTTTTTACATATTCCCATATAATCTCAGTGTATATATAAAGTGGAACTCCTCAAATCTTTTTGGCATGAATCCTTGAAGAACTTCCAAGACTCACTCCTCCACACACAAAACAAAAATCTGTTTTTTGGGAGTTTAGTTATTTATTTATTTATTCATTCATTTTTTTTATATTTTAATCTACAATATCAAACCTACCATTACCTCTCAAACTCAAGATACTAATAATATATCCGCACAATATTTCTCGTATCGATATCAAATTCAAATGCAGAAAATGGGAACGGACGACGGAAAGGGAACAATTAATCCCCACCACCGCCACCACTCCGACACCGATATCGTCGGCGGCGACAGGGCGTCGTACAGCGGTCCGTTAAGCGGACCTCTCAACAAGCGTGCTGGCGGCCGCAAAAGCGCCAGATTCAACCTTCCTGACTCCGCCGGCGCCGGCGGCTCCGTCTCCGGCGACGACGACCAAAGCTACGTCGAGATCACTCTCGATGTCCGCGACGACTCGGTGGCGGTGCACAGCGTGAAGACTGCTGGAGGAGCGGAGGTGGAAGATCCGGAGCTGACTTTGTTGGCTAAAGGGCTCGAAAAGAGATCTTCGTTTAAATCTTCGATTGTTCGAAATGCTTCGTCTCGGATCAAACAAGTGTCCCAGGAGCTCAAGAAATTGACTTCATTGTCGAAGCGGAGTCATCAGGGTCGGTTTGATCGGAACAAGTCTGCGGCGGCGCATGCTTTGAAAGGTCTTAAATTCATCAGCAAGACCGACGGCGGCGCTGGCTGGGCTGCGGTGGAGAAGCGGTTTAACAACCTCACTTCCTCCACCAATGGCTTGCTTCATCGGTCTCTCTTCGGTGAATGCATAGGTAAATGAGATTTTTTAATATATGACCGTCTTGCTGATACTGATACTGATATTGATATTTGTTCGAGTTTGATTTGTTTTGGTTTTTTGTTCTAACAACGATTTGAATTGTAATTATATATAGGGATGAATAAGGAGTCGAAAGAGTTCGCCGGAGAGCTTTTCGATGCACTTGGCCGGAGACGGAATATAACCGGTGATATGATCAACCTGGCGGAGTTAAAAGAATTTTGGGAGCAAATCTCCGATCAAAGTTTCGATTCGAGGCTTCAAACTTTCTTTGACATGTAAGACGTTATCCAAATTCAAGTGGTGGTTAGGAATGTTGGTATGCAGTTCTATTATTAACACAAAATTGATAAAAAGTTTACAAATTTATTAGCTAGACCCCTTTTAATTACATAGAAACTAATCATAGAATTTGACAATATATACAGATGGGTAATTTTTTTACAAGTGAGTCCAACTAATATATTTAGAAAAACTCTAATCATATAAATAAATAAATAAACGTTACAATTAGAGATTAAATTAACAATATCATTATTCATATTTTTTTTTTTTGTTTTTTTAGAGAAACATATTCATTTTTTATTGATTGGACTCACTTTTAGCAACATAGAAATGAGTTACATAAACGGCCACAAAATATACATATTAATGCATAATATTTTTGGATCCGACAATTGAATTCTGAACTATTTTTGTATTAGAAGCAAAATTGTGTCAAGACGAGCCATTGTTTGATAATCTTGTGTTAATAAATTCGACAAATACTGGATTATTGGATTAATTAATAGATTAATTAATGCAGGGTTGATAAAGATGCAGATGGGAGAATCACAGGAGAAGAAGTCAAAGAGGTAAGTGTGGACACATTAATGCTACCTTGTTGTAATTCAAACATGGACTATGGCAAAAGTTGACTTTAATATTTGTCAATTTTTTGGTTTTCATAATAAAATTTTATTTCGAACCCACATATCATCAATAAGTAATTTCATATGGGTTGTATCAGATTTAAAAAATAAAAAAATGAATTGACAATAATATGTTATATTTGCAGATTATAACCCTCAGTGCTTCTGCCAACAAGCTATCAAATATACAGAAACAGGCAGATGAATATGCAGCATTGATTATGGAAGAGCTAGACCCAGATAATGCTGGATATATCATGGTAAATTTCACTTGAGTGTTACAAAATTTTCACTATTTTGTATTCAAAAACACGAAAAGCGAAAACAAAACCAGACAGACAGACAGACAAGATTCCCTTAAGACTGATTGTAATTTGATAATTTGGATGAACAGATAGAGAACTTGGAGATGTTGTTGTTGCAAGCACCAAGCCATCAAACAAGAGGAGGTGAAAGTAGAATCCTAAGCCAAATGCTGAGCCAAAAGCTCAAGCCCACACTAGAACTCAACCCTTTAAGGAGATGGTACCGGGCCGCCAAGTACTTCTTGCTTGATAACTGGCAGAGAGTTTGGGTTATGGCACTCTGGATTTGTGTCATGCTTGGCCTATTCGCGTGGAAATTCATTCAGTATCGAAACAGAGCAGCCTACGGGGTAATGGGCCATTGTGTTTGCATGGCAAAAGGTGCTGCCGAGACTCTCAAGCTCAACATGGCAATAATTTTACTCCCCGTTTGTCGGAACACAATCACCTGGCTCAGAAACAAGACCAAGTTGGGAGTCGCGGTTCCATTCGACGACAATCTCAATTTCCACAAAGTAATAATTCTAATTAATCTCCTCGTGTTCCTAATAATGCAAGTTTTAGTAGCGCTTAAAAGTACTAAATGATAGCGGTGTTTCTGTTTTCAGTTAATCGCTGTGGCAATTGCCCTTGGAGTTGGAATACACGCGATTTATCATTTAGTGTGCGATTTCCCTCGCTTGATTCAGGCCAGTCCTGAGAAGTACGCGCCAATGGAGCCGTATTTTGGGGAACAAGCCCATAGCTACTGGCATTTTGTGAAGAGTTTCGAAGGAATTAGTGGGATTATCATGGTGGTGTTGATGGCGATAGCGTTCACATTGGCAAGCCCGTGGTTTAGGCGAAATAGGGTAAACCTGCCTAAAGCCCTCAAGAAGCTATCCGGATTCAACGCTTTCTGGTATTCACACCACCTGTTTGTGATTGTCTACGGTCTTCTCATCGCTCATGGAATCAAGCTTTATTTGACACACAAATGGTACAAGAAAACGGTTAGTGCCTCAACACGTGTCTATGTGTTGTTCTGATGATTTGATTTATTTGCGTGAATCCTTACATGGTTGCACATTGGCAGGTATGGATGTACTTGGCAGTTCCGATCATTCTGTATGCATGCGAAAGATTGATTCGGTTATTCAGATCCAGCATCAAGCCGGTTAAGATACTCAAGGTAAGCAAATTTGGTAGTGTTTTTATTTTTTGTTATTTTTGTTTTTGTTTTTTGAAGATATTTAGAAACTGAAAATGTGGGTATGTTTACATTGGGATTTTGGAAGGTGGCTGTTTATCCTGGAAATGTGTTGGCTATTCACATGTCAAAGCCTCAAGGCTTCAAATACAAGAGTGGGCAATACATGTTTGTCAACTGTGCTGCTGTTTCCCCATTTGAATGGTAAGTGTAAAACCCGTTGTTTTAAATAACAGTATTGGAATAAGTATCAGTATCGATGATACTGTCATATATATTAGTCAGCCCGACAACTAATTAGGGTTAATTTTTCTAATTCATCGTTTCATATATCAACAGGCACCCATTCTCCATTACTTCTGCTCCCGGAGACGACTACCTTAGCGTTCATATCCGAACTCTTGGTGATTGGACACGACAACTCAAAACAGTGTTCTCAGAGGTGCGTTCCCTTTATTTGAAAATTTTCTGTGTTTATCGCGTTATATTACTACTAGTCCTTTCTTTGTGTTTAATTCAAAATGTTTAAACTTGTCCATTAAAACTCATCAAATAATGCTAAATTTCCAAGAAACATGAACTTTTAAGGGGAACCTATTTTGAATCTTGATCTTCTTGTGAGAACCCAACAAACTATGCAATCAAAACATGTTTTAATCTGATTCTTTTAAAATTTAGTTCAAGATCATGATCATGGTATATACGTATTTGGATGTTATAAAATTAGTATATTTGTTGTGAATTGTAACTTACTTCAGCTTGTGTTTTGTCTTTGCTAGGTATGTCAGCCACCACCTACAGGGAAAAGTGGACTCCTCAGAGCTGACTACATGCAAGGAGAGAATAATCCCAAGTAAGTCATTACTAAGTTCTTAATTCATAAAAAATTCACTCTGCATTCAAATTTAGGAATATAGATACTGAACAAAGAATTGGACACATGATATATATAAATAGATAAAAAATTTTAAAATAAATTTTATTGACAAATTTTATAAAATTTTGTTCTTTAATATATATTTTATATTCATTTTTGTATTCGTAATATAACTGCTTTACAACTCACGAATAATTCTTGAGTGATGCATTTTGTTCTTTTCCCCACCAGTAGAAATCTTTCATCATTACTTGCAAAAATTGATAAGAGTAATCTAGCTAATAAATAGCAAATGCCTAAAGGTAGGCTTCAATCACGGCATCAATAACGCTATAGGGACTAGAGAGTCAATTCCCCACACATAGACAAAGACATGTAACAACATGTCACATGTATATATTTTGTTCTTTTCTACTGCTTTTTGAAGATTCCCTGGCTCCCATTTGTATTTTTTTCTAACGAGTTTGATTAGAAAATTGAGTTTGATTAGAAAATTGAAAGGAGATTTAAGAAAAAAAATAAAATATGAATAAAATATATCTATATTTTATTTAATTTTATATATATTTTCTCTTTTCTTTTGTCTTTTTAAATCTCTTCTCAAATCTTTCAACCAAATACAACTTAAGAAAAGTCCTTTTTTTTTTAAAAGAAATAAATTATCAATGTTTTTCAAAAGTGTATAAACGAGCTAAATTAGGTCAAGCAGTGATTTATTTAAATTTGGTTAAAAAACGTAACGAGTATAAAATTGTATCTAAACTTAGTTTGTTTATTTTATGGAGTCAATTCCGAGTTAGAGTAATTTATTTTTTTTCTTTTAATTTTTTATTACACAGCTATATAGTACATATAAGTTAAACCCAAAAACGCTAACTAGTTACAAAAATTTATTTAAACTTGACCCATTTATACAATGAGTAGATCTAGAACGCAGTTTTAGATTATTTTTTATCATAAATTAGAGAAAAAATTTGCAGAGTAAAAAAAAAGCAAGTGAAATTTACAAACCAAATCACTCTTTAAACTGTGATTTAAATACCATCTTAGAATAAAATATATCTATATTTTATTTAATTTTACACATATTTTTTCTTTTTTTTTCTCTTTTTAAATCTCTTCTCAAATCTTTCAACCAAATACAACTTAAGAAAAGTCCTTTTTTTTTTTAAAAAGAAATAAATTATCAATGTTTTTCAAAAGTGTATAAACGAGCTAAATTAAGTCAAGCAGTGATTTATTTAAATTTGGTTAAAAAACGTAACGAGTATAAAATTGTATCTAAACTTAGTTTGTTTATTTTTTGGAGTCAATTCCGAGTTAGAGTAATTTATTTTTTTTCTTTTAATTTTTTATTACACAGCTATATAGTACATATAAGTTAAACCCAAAAACGCTAACTAGTTACAAAAATTTATTTAAACTTGACCCATTTATACAATGAGTAGATCTAGAACGCAGTTTTAGATTATTTTTTATCATAAATTAGAGAAAAAATTTGCAGAGTAAAAAAAAAGCAAGTGAAATTTACAAACCAAATCACTCTTTAAACTGTGATTTAAATACCATCTTAGTGATTCAAACATAAGTTGAATTCAAGTAACTTAATTTATTTTAAACATATAGTCCACAAAATTGACAATATTGATGGTTGTTTACAGTTTTCCAAGAGTGTTGATAGATGGTCCATATGGTGCACCAGCACAGGACTACAAGAAATATGATGTAGTGTTGCTAGTAGGCTTAGGAATTGGGGCAACACCAATGATCAGCATTGTCAAAGATATTGTGGACAACATGAAGGCCAACGATGAGGAAGAAAATGCCTTGGAGGGCGGTGATGGCGCCACTGCAACAAAGAGAAGCGGCAACAGCTTCAAGACGACAAGGGCTTACTTCTATTGGGTGACAAGAGAGCAAGGCTCTTTCGACTGGTTCAAAGGGATTATGAACGAGGTGGCAGAGACGGATAAAAATGGGGTGATAGAGATGCACAATTATTGCACGAGCGTTTATGAAGAAGGTGATGCACGCTCTGCGCTCATCACCATGCTTCAATCGCTCAACCATGCCAAGCATGGCGTGGATGTTGTCTCTGGGACACGAGTTAAGTCTCATTTTGCGAAGCCCAATTGGCGCAATGTCTACAAGCGGATCGCTCTCAACCACACTAATGGCAGAGTTGGTAAGTCCTACTATTTCAAATATCTATTAGCCTAATTTTGTGCATTGTATCATGTAGTGTGGGATTTTCAGTCTCAAAATGTTTATAATTATTAAATTATGTCTCAAAATTTATTTACTTTAAAATTCAAAAAAAAAAAAATTAGAGACAATTTTTGACAAAAGAGTCTAAGATAGTTGTGACATATTTTCGTCACATATGTCAACTTTTCGAGGTTGCCTTGCTATTCTACTTATTAATTTTTAATTAATTAATTATTTATTTTGTCATTGGTAGTGGTTCTAGTTTTCTAGATGATTGAAGTTAAATAGGGGCCATATATTTTGGATAAGAAACGAAAGGTAATAAAAGTGGGAAAATTACAAATCAAATGTACCCTATGAAAATAATTACACACATATGAAAAAAATTATAATTTTAATAATTATTATTATTTTGAAAAAATAAATTCCACTGCTACACTGCAGTTATTTTCCTGTAAAAGAATGTGTCAAAAGTCAATAATAAATAAATATATAAATAAAAGTAACATTTTAATTTCTCAAGACCACCAGACTATTTTACCTCACTTTCTCTGGTTTTTTTACATTACTTTTTAATCATGAATTTTTCCTTCTTTTTTTTAAATTTTTTTTTTTATGTTATATATATATATATATATTTTTAATCAAAGCATTTAACTGTTCTATATCAACTAAAGCACCTTCCAAAAGAACAAAACACTATTAATTTGACAATGTCTATAACAAAGCAGGCTCAGCTCCGAGGACCCCCTGATTGTAATTTTCCTCATTATATTAATTTTTTTTTTTTTTTGTGATAAATTACATATGTAGCTTTAATGAATATTAATGGTGTTATTTGGTAAAATTGCAGGAGTGTTTTACTGTGGGGCACCAGCACTTACAAAAGAGCTAAAACAGCTAGCTTCTGATTTCTCTCGCAAGACCTCCACCAAATTTGAATTCCACAAAGAAAATTTTTAAACTTACCCCCTTCTAGAAACAACCCTTCTTCATCATCCCCTCTCGCTCTCATCATATTTACATACACATTCATGTTAATGTATAATAAATATTATATGATCCAAGAGCTTGCGTACAGTGATTGACAAGGGAAGACGGTGAAAAGACAAAACGGCATTGGGAAAATTTACCTCTATGTTTGGATGGTGATGGTGATTGTGGTGGGGGCCCACTCACCACCTTTGAATGTGGAGGTGTGAGAAATTGTCATTCATTTGGTCAAGGAGTAGAGTAGGTAGTTGTGATTCAGAGCTCTCTCTCTCTCTCTCCCTCTCTATATATATTTTTTTATATTTATTTATTTAGGAATTTATTTTTATTTTAGAGGATATAAGTGGGGATGATAATTGTGAGATTGGTGGTGGTGGGTTGTTGGAAATGGGATATTGCCAACCACCACTCAAGCCAAAAGGATTGACCAATGTATATGGTTTCATACTTTTTTTGATTTTGATAATAATATCTTTGTTTGGGATGTAAATTTTGAATTAAAATAGTTAATAAAGATTAAAAAAAAAATTATTAAAATAATTTATAAGAGAAAATGTCATATTTAAATTATAATTTTTTTTTACAATTATCAAATTAACTATAAAAAAGAAAAAAAAATTAAAAATCATCCAACACAATTTTTTCAGACAACTTAAAATAATTAAATAGTTAAAAAACAAAACCAAACGAGGGTAAATAATAATAGTAATAATGATGATGATATTATTTATATATGCTTGTATTATTTCAACAATTGTTTGGTTCAACATTTTTTACATCATTTGGATATTTCGCAGAAGGATCTTCTTCATCATGTTTTATATACTGACAATATTAGGTAGGATACTTTATTTCAGAATTATAATCGCAAGATAACATTTTAGTGTGGACGGGTTATTTGGAATTTTGTGACAATTTTTATTTTGAAAAATTCTAGGTAGTTGGTGAATACGCATAATTATCTATAAATTATTACATGTATCGATTAACTTTTAATGTTTTTGCACCATGTGAGAATTGAACATGAAACGTCCTTCCATAGTCAAATTTTTTTGTGTTCAATTTAATCTTAATCAGAGTTTATCTATTATTGTGCCGTGTCATTTTGAATTCATATTTCATTTATGTTGTCTAATGTTAAAAAAATATTGACATTCATTAAGAGTATCAAATCCATAAAATATTTTTTTTTCTCCATTAGCTAAATTTCATAAAACTAATATTTACTAGGTAAAATTATTCACAAAAGTGTTTATTTCAACTCAATTCTCTTTATCTAGTTTCAAAAAATTAAAGTACTATTTTGTTTATTTATTTTTATTAATTGACTCTAAAATATTAGATTATGTCAAATGAAAAACAAACATATGTTAATCAAAATCTTATTTTACAATTTTCTTTTTTTATTTTTTATAATTAAACTGGATGAAGGTGTTGTTTGGTACAGCTTATTGTAAGCTAAAAGCTGATAATCAGGAAGCAGAAATCAAAAGCACCCCTTCTCCAGCTTTTAAATAATCAACTTTTCTCAGCTTATTTAAGCTATTTCTGCCTAAAAAACTGTAAGCAAAAACTGTACCAAACAATCTAGCACAAATTCTCAAATTAAAATAAGATATAATCACCCTTATAATTCACGCCAAACACCCCCGAAGTTATATGAAGTTTTTTAAAATGTCATGATAATCTTAATAAAAATGATGGTAAAAAATGTGTGACTAACCTTTAAATATGTTATTTGTATTAATTTCAAATTACATGAGCTTTAAAAAAAATAAAAAATTATTTATTTACTTTTTTAAATAGGAGCATGTTACATGAGCTTAACACTGACCGAGAAATTATTTAATAATCTCATAATATCACGTGGTCATATTTCAAGCCAATCATCAATTACTTAGCATCCATGTTGTTCTCATATCCCCAACATAAATCGTGGGCCCCTATTCCTCTCTACCAATCAAAATCTTATGAAGTACCAGGTGTCCATACTCCGAGAACACTGAATAATCACCCACACTGATATCATTTTTTTTAAAAAAAAAAAAATTGACCTCACTACAACATATACGGATTATAAGAGTCAAAATATTTTGACCTTAAAAATAGAAATTTGGTTGCAAAAAACATTAAGAGACCAATTCATGTTGTTAATACTTTCTCCCCCAAAAAGTTAAAAAAAAGACCACTAGCGACAAAATTTTAAAAATATCACAAATAAATGCATTTTTAGAAATAAACAATTTCGTGCAAAAAATGTGTACTTTTGTAGACATAAATTTTGGTCTCACAAGGATTATATTCATCACTAAATGTCTAATGTCATCCCTAAATATATAACAATGACACTTGTGGCAACTAAGATATTTTGTCACTAAAAAGCAATTTTGTTCCTATTTTTTTTTTTTATATTATCTAAAACCTTATTTTATTATAATGTCTGAAACATGATTATTAAATTCACTTAAAATAATGTGGATTATCCGTATCAATTATTGATTAATTTAGAAATAAACTACCTATGACCTAATCCCATGTTACATCACTAAAAAAAATCATACTTATAAATAATAATAAAAATTAGTATTTTTTATAATATTATTATGTGTTGTCATAATAAAGTTTGTGTGAACAAATGACTAACTTTTAACACTGACAATCTATTTATTTTTTGGTTCGACTTCTCCACAGCTATTCTCATAAAATTTGGACGGAATATCCAATTGAATTAGAGAGAAACTTTTTATTTATTTTTTTGTGTTTTATAATCGAGTTTGTGTGAAAGAGTGACTAACCTTATTGCAATTGTTGTGACAATCAACAATGGGAAATCAATTTAGATTTGATTAGTTGAAAATTGCCAAAAATTTCTGATGTCACATTTATCTCCCATTCTCATTTAGCAGCTGGTCCACACTCTGAAATTTCTCAAAGTTCAGGAAAGGCAACTAGGAGGAAGATGGACAACACAAACACACATACATAAAGAAAATGGAGTTGAGATCCTCTCTTTTGGGCTCCCTCTTTATCTTCTTACTTGTAGCGGTATGAGATATATTTTGAGTTAATTTAACGGTTTAGATTTGACTATTTAAAAATAAAAAAATAATAAAACAAATTTAAATTTATTTTTTCTGTTCAAATCTAAACTATTAGATCAATTTAAAATGAATCTCTACCATTATAAGTAGGAAAGTAACAGGAGAGTTCAAATAGATGATCTCAACTCAAGAAAATGTGGATGAGTCCTCCAACTAGATTTTCAAAGTAGATAGTTGAATTTGAAATTGAAATGGCTATTGAAAAAACAAAATATAGGTTTGTTTTCTAGTGCCCTACAACATGGTAGGCTACACCTTATGGATTAGACTCTGAAATTATCTTAAAGTGGAATTTGACAATTTCATTGTTTGTTGATATTTTTTTTAAAAGTTTTAAAAAAAAAATTAAAACCTTTAATAATTGTTAAAAATAAAATTTTTGGTTAGTGAAAAAATGGACTATTTTATTTAATTTTTAGTTTAAGAAATAACATATTTTTGTTTTTTAACTTTTTAGGAGATAAAAAAATAAAATAAAAAGAAAAAGAAAATTACCAATTAGTGAGAGTTGGGGGCAAATAATTACCAAAAGGTAGAAATTTTTGTCGGGTGCAACTTTTGTTGTGCATTTCTACACAAGAAAGACTTGTACATCTAAGTATTTGTAATTATTTTGGGTCAAACGACCTTATTTGTAATTTTCTTTAAAAAGTTTAATGGGTTTAGGAATAACTTTTTTTTTTTTTTTTTTGACTATATAAAAAAACATGAATGGACATGAGTGTAATTTATTCTTTTTCTTTTTTTTTCATTTTCTTTAAAAGTAATTACATATTCTTTTAGTATTGAGGATTCGTTTGTGAAGTGATTTTTTTAATGAGTTTTTAATTTTTTAACTAAAATATAAGATTAAAAAAATTAATATATTTAAAAATAAATTTTTAATTTTTTACAAAACCACGTCTAAAAAGTAGAATAGACGTGAAAATATCTTCATTTTTTTTTTGTATAAATTAAAAAAAAATAACTTTTTTATTAAAAGGTTAACTGCCCAACAAGGCCTGAGTGGGTACATAATAATCTAAAATCTATATAATGACATTGACCAACATGTTTTCAATAATTGAGCAAAATAATGTGTAAAAACATTAACAAGAAGTTGAAAATGTACCCAAAAAGTTGAAGACAATTTGAATTGCTAATTTCTACCATCTTTTTCGGCCTCATATGGCTAATTGAATCCAGCTCCTCTCTTTGATCTTTTTCCTTGACTTTTTTATTCGGTGGGCTATTGAACCTATTTTTGAATTTAATTTTGATGATTCAAATCGTTCACATTTTAGAATTTGTCGAGTATATCATACTTGTAAAAAATTAAATTGATCGAATATCGAAAACTACAAGTTCAGATCATCGAACTAAAAGTTTTATTAAAAAATAAAACTGTTTGTTAAATTTTTTTAATAAATAATTTTTAATTCGATGATCCAAACACGTGATTTTCGATATCCGATCGATTTGATTTTTTACAAGTATGATACACTCGATAAATCCTAAAACGTGAACAGTTCGAACTATCAAAATTGAATAAAAAATGAGCCAATAACCCACCAAGTAGAGAGCCAGGTAGGAAAATCCAAGAAGATGACCCTCGCTCTTGGGCAGTTAGCCGACATGATCAAGACAACCCCAAGTACAGAATCGCACACTCACCTGTCAAAAAAATTAGGATAAATTATATTGGGAAAATCACACTTTGCCCTTAAAGTTAACTTATGTTCAAAATTAACTAAAAAATGTTATGTTAACTATCACATGATATAATTTTTTTTTTTTAATTTATCCCTAAAGTTAATGTTTAAAATTAGACAAAAGATGTCATGTTAATTGTCACATAACATAAAAAAAATAAAAATATATATATTATATTTATATTTAAATTTATACTAGAGATGTGAGTTATATATAATAAATAAGTTTATATTATATGATTGTCAATGTGTTATTTTCTATCTAATTTTTTAACATGAGTTAGCTTTTATAGTTAGAAAAAACTTGAAAAATGAATGGCAAAAGTGAGGAAAAAATAATTGAGGGTTGAAGTGAAAAATAGTCAGACATAAAGGGACAAAGTTTAATTTACTAAATTATATTTTATCCCTTTAACTTTCATCATTGTTTCACTTTTGGCTCTCAAAATTTCTTTTTTCCACTTTGATTCCTAACATTTAATTTTTTTTTTCCAATAGCTAATATTCATCTAAAAATGTCATGTTTGGCATAATAACATGTTATTGGATAAATTGCATTTTGCTCTCATAAATTTCAATATTTTTTCACTTTGACCCTTAGATATTTTTTCTATTTTGATCCTTAAATTTTTTAATATTTTTCAATTTGCTCCAATAGCCAATATCCATCCAAAATTAGATAAAAAACACATGCCACAT